TACCCAGAGTGCCAAGTGCAGAGCTTGCTAGATGAAGCAAAGTGGAAAGGGTAGAAGAGACTGCAAACTGTAATGCAAAGGAAGTTTTCATAGTTACAATCTTTTTACACTCCACTTTGCCAGTATCATAGGCTTTTCTGGTCATCATTCACTATTTCCTAGTTTTTGCTGCTCAAACCTATTTGTTATAACATAGAAACACCTCGATTTTATTCATTGCTCAACATGATATTTATCAGATTCCTACTTATGACGAGAAATAGTGATAAATACAGCCTAAAAGAAGACAAGTCTCTGCTATTAAGTACACACAACTAAGGGACAAACAGTTACACAAAGAAAATTAGCAGAGTGGGGCAGATGCTCCCAGTGAGCTGGCACAGGGACTCTGGTACTGAATGGCATGGCCGGATTCCAGGAGGGTCTGCTGAGCAGAGACCTGCAGGAAAGTCCTTCCCAGCAAGAGCAAGTGAGCCTGCAGGGCCCTAAGAAAGGACGGGCAGCCAGCAGGCCAGCAGGCCAGCAGGGAGGGCCGGGTTGAAAGGTGGCACGGGAAGAGGAGGAAGCCCCAGGCCTCGCAGTGGCTGTAGGCCACCAGCAGGGGAAAGCTGATGGGGGGCTTTCCACCAGGCACGTTTCTGCTGGCTGCTCACACTCTCATCTCCTCGGGTCGCTGCTTATGCACCTTATTCCAGAGCCCTCCCCCACCTCCTCACCCCGGACCCTGCTGTCTACTTCTCCAAGGTCCTTAGCATGGCCCAGTGGCACAAATTTGTTTTCTTGATGGCTGATGTTTCCTACACACCAAAGCACAAATAGCACCTTGGTTGTTCACAGCCACCTGCTAACAACCCAGGCGGCTCTAGAAAGAAACATACATACAAGTAGCAAAATGTTAAAAAATGTTCTATCTCAATACTGCAAAAAAAAAAAAAAAAAAAGCCCCAAACCAACAAACCTTTACCACTGTATACAGGTCTTCTGAATAATGAGGGAAGAGGTTTTTAAGACAAAATGTATTTAAAATATTCTATTTGTGTTAAAAATTACTATATTGATAATGGTACAACTCTAGATGTACAAGAGAAGAAGAAAAGATAAATAGAAAAATTCTTTTTCAGACTGTAAAAAAACTGGCTCTTCTTTGAAGGGGGAGGTAAGAAGTAACTTTATTTTCTCTCATATATCTTTCTGAATTATTAATATTTGAAACATCAACTTATATTTTGAAAATTAAAAAAAATTAACTCTGAGCCAATTAGCAGGACAAGAATGTATTAATATACTATTTTCACAATGCATGGACAGCAGTTCTAATGGCTCACTTATGTATACACAATGCATGAACATTCACATGCATTGAAGTTCATGGATGAAAAATATATTTGAATTACCCTGTCAAATGCAGTGGGATGAAATGAATGCCTTTGATAAAATGGAGCAGACAGAGCCCACATTCTTAAGCAAGCTTCTAGTAACAGCCAATGTTTAATCTGTGATTAGAATTTGAAAACTGTGTTCAACAATGCTTGCTGGACCCTAGCTGTCACTGTTCAAGTGACCCTGTTTTTTTGTCTTCAAAGAGAGATATGAATTCTTCCACTGCTTCCCAAAGAAGCATCTTTTGATTTCTATTAGCTGCGCTGCCACTTAACATTAAAGAACAAGATTTACAGACTGACTGATGGTGTCTATGGAAGAGGTAACCTTCAAAGTTGGATGGATACAACTTGGTTCTGTAAGATAAAAGTTATTGGACTTCATTTATGCTCCATAGGCTTTCACAATAAAAGTTACCTAGAGAAAGAGAATTATATTCTCATATATTTTATACATTAAAAATATTTTTGTGCTCCTAGACATTAAAACCAGAGTACGTGCTAGCAAGTGCTTTACCACAGAACCTCCAGGCCCATCCTCATATTTTTCAGAAAGGTAGTATATACTGTAGAGTTCTTAATTATATTATATTCAAGAACTTTTTCAAAGGCAATTAATTATTCTGTTCTTACTTCAATCATCTATCTCCAGTATAATACAACTATCTCTAAATGTTATCACAGGGAGAGTTTTGTTTACATAGTTCACTAAATATGTTTTGAGCTATTCTAACTTCAGGAATGTGAAATGTTTACCATACACACCTCATTTTTTAATTGCAAATGTATTTCTAAAGCAACTATCTTAATTACCATTTACCACAAAGTCACAGAATAGTCACGTTTTGCAAGTCAATTCAGGGGAAAACAGAAAGCTTGGTTAAGTCCAATTTAGATAACTTGCGCTCAGCAGGCCTAAACACACAGACAGAGCTGCCTGCTCCCCACTCCCGGCTCCGTATTGTCATGTTAACAGCTCCAAACAAGAGCATCCCAGGAGAAAGATTACCTGTCCCAACTAAAACCTGGACAGTGGTTTCCTTTTTAAAGACCCAATCAGGGGACACATACCAGGCTTAACATTTTTAGGTGGTCATTTATAGTCTACAGAGAAATACTGTATTACCAAAAAGCATTCTCCCCAAATAAACACACATGAAACTATACAGCAACACTAAAGCTGTTCCCCAACCTGCTAGAATGATCCTGGACCTTGGAAGGGTGAAGTAGAGTAGGTTTAGGTGGGGTGGGCTTGGAAACCAGGTTTGCAGGACAAGCGAGATTAAGCACCTAGGGTGGTGCTTTGACCTGGTCCACTGAGAGAAGTTCTCACCACAGAGAGATGTCGTCTGGGAAACAGAGACTTCCAGGCTCTGCCACGTTAGCTGATAAGGATAGCCAACAGAACTTGGAGACTGCTAAATCACTTTCTTACAATGAAACCAAGTTCCCAGCTCAAAGCACTAGTGACTCAATTGGTAGTTATCAGTATACCAAAAACACCATGTTGTACACAGTGCCAAGCCCTGTGGAATGCCTCTGAACTCGATTAAACCACTAGACCAGTGATTAAACTAACTTTATATGGTAGAGTGCTCTTGCTCAAACTTGAGCAATCCTGCTCATTTTAGGAAAGCAATTTTAGCACAAAAGTGGAAGCAAGCAACTTCAGAGCCTCAATTTCAGCTCAAATACCAAGGCTGGCAGCGTCTGCTCACCCAACTACAAAATCAGGATACCAACTACTTCCAAGGAGCGTTAAAGAGGATTAAAGTTATAAAATACTGTGAAGATGAAAAGCACTAAGTCTTGGGCTCGTATCACATCTGCAAGTAGTTTAACAGTGTGTTTCTGTATCAGCAAACAAGTTTTTACCACTTTATCCACCTAGACATTTCAATAACAGTCATTGCCATAGTACCCAAGTGCTTTTCACCAGACAGCCTCCTGAAAGACTGCTTGGCATCCTGTCAAAATGACAAGCTGCCACATCATGTTATCGACTGCAAGAGCCTGCCTAAAAATTTAGAAAAGAAGATGACTTCCCTTCAAATTGATCTGTGCTATGTCTCATGACAATACTGTTTATTTCTTACACCTGGGTAATAAACTGATAAAACAGCTATAGAACACAGTGTTCACTGCACAATCACAGATGGAACATCTTATGTACTGCTTTAAAAAAAAAAACAAACAGCATGTTTACTCCTAAATAGGACATATGTCTAAGTAAATAGGCAATATTTTTAATAAAGAAGGAAAATTTTTCCATGCTGATCTCAGTCCTATTAAAGAGGGTTGCATTTAATCCTGAAGAAGGCTCAGATCATGGGGTACTCTTCCAACCACTTGACCTTGAAAAGCATTGGGTGCAGATTTGAAACAACCTCAACTGTTACTACTTCTAGATTCCTAAGGTCACCTGTAGAACTCAGGTGAGGGAGAAAAAGCAGGAAGACTACATCCTGTGTTGACTGTCATGACCAGTTATTTAGAGGTTCTCTTCAGCAGCATAGCAAGTTACACGTTATGGGGTCAGTCACTGCCATGCAGGATGAACTGGGAGTAAGAGAAAAGTAATCACCTGGCTCAGAGCTCTGTGCACATGGAATAAAATTCTCTGCAACAAGATTGCAAGTGATGATCAAAAGCACTCCATCCTGCACAGTGTGGGGTTAGAAAGGCAGACAATGTTCTCTGCAGGATCGTGTTCACACATGATCCAAAAAGTGGATGCTGACCGAACCCTGGTTTAACACTTGTATGAACAGCATGAATGAAACTTTTGACTCTCTTACAATGAAACCAACCCGAATTTTACAGAAACAAAGTAATATTAATTTTAAGCAAATGACACAGTTCTGTGTAAGTTGTAAATGAGTTATCAATAATTACGACGTTTAAATAGACATTTGACTTTCCCCCTATATTCTTAAAGGCCTGCTTATTCAAATTAATATAAAATATTTTAAAAGAACCTTTAAAACTTTTTCTTTCAATAATGCTTTAGCGCTGGACATATACGTGAAGATGATTTTAGTATATTCCACTCAAACACTGTAGAAGATAAGTGTGAATAACAGCTTTCAAGAACACTTAAAGTTTTATTCTACAATCGCTCTGCAAGGTCATTTTCCAAATGAAAAAGAGTTAGACTTTATAATAACTAAGCTGAGGCACAGACAGAGAAAGCCTGGCCCAAACGTGCAGGACCAGATGATACTGTGAGTCCCTAGCTGGTGCGGCCTTCTCCTCAAGCTGAACTCGGCCTATCTTGTAACACTTGGAGCCAGGGATCCGTGTGCCTATCCCTCATGCAGGACGGCACTGAGAATTCGCTTTGTGCATGAGTGCGAAGCTGACTAAGCTCCAGCCAACACTGTTGCTAAAAGTTATCTTGAACGATTTCAGATGCTGCCATTCACATCATGGTTGTCCTGGGTTTGTGCACCTGTAGGGGCACCTTTTTGGTGGAAGGCACAAAGGCTGCCTTCTAATTTGCGTGAAGATGTCCCAAGAGTTGCATGGGATGTCTTCTCTAGACCCAGACATAAAAAAATCACCATACGCTAACTCATGAGATGAGAAAGCAAGCAAATAAATGGTTGAGGGCAGAGTTACCTTATAGATGCCAAAGAACCCCAGGTCTCGGACAACGGACAGCGCGCTGACCCGGGGACCGGTAGTGATCTCTCCAGCCACCTGCAGGCGGATCTTGACGATTTCTAAAGGATTTGTGAAAATCACCTGTGAGCCTCCAGCCTGAAGAGAAAAAGAAAAGGTTTAGGATCAAAGATGAGAAAAGGTCAGGTAAAGATGAGCAAGTATTCTCAGCCAAGCTCAGAAGTCTACTCTGACAGCCTATAGTCTCATCAATTAAAATAACTGGTGATTACAAGTTTGAATCAAAATACAGTTCCTGTCTAGGAAGCTTCACATAAAGAAGCGCTACCTCTCACGTCAAGGTTGGAAGAGGCCAAAGGAGTCCGCGTGGTAAAATGGCCAAGATTTCGTGAGGCAAAACCAACTGTCCCCTGCCCCTGCTCGAAGCCAAGGGCACACAAGCAGTAACACCAAGCAACTAGCATCCAAGTAAGACACAGATCCCAGAAATGAGAGGATGAATACTCTTGAGTAACAGATTTCAGGGTTCTGGCAAGGATTCAACAATTGCAGAGAACATAAAAACTTAGATGGAAAAGAAATTTAAAACAATTGGGTAGATCATGAAGTATTGTGAAATGATTCTTATAATTTCACTTATGTATCACCTGTCTCTAGAATTATTTTTCTCATATGAGATAAATGGCATGCTGAATAAGTAAAAATACACATTAAATCAATTATGGCCCAAACTTTGAACAAAATGAGTTATTTCGTTCCAGCAAAGGCTGTACGCCACACATCCAAGATCATCAGTGAAATCTTTAAAGTGCATTACACAGGAAACTTTAAGCTAGCTATTTTGAAGCTAAGCCTGTATTTATCACAAGCAATTATATTCTTTTATAGTGTACTTCAACCTGTTATCCCTTGTCATAATATACATTTCTGTATGATCCAGATGCAGATTAATACACAGCACAATTCATCACTGTATTATGTAGCCACATCCTAGAGCAAAGATGGACAACGGTGCTGGGCCTCACAGCTCCAGAGACGTCATCGCGGGAACAGGTAAACTGTGGGTCAGCGCTGTGAGGCTCAGCTTAGACTGGATTCTCCTCGCTCCCAACCCGTTGCCCGCAGAACAACGGGTTCTCAGTAGGGAACTCATCGGCCAGCTCAGGTGTGAAGGAGGAAAGACAGGACTCCCAGGTCCTGGGGACATCTGGAGACAGCTGGAAATTTATACCAGAGGGGCTGGGGAGATGGCTTGGTGGTCTAGGCGCCTGTACGGCAACTGCAAGGAACTGAGTTCGATCCCGAGTACTGCATGCCATGCCAGCCTTGGAACACTGGGCAGGCTGTGCCAGACACGGGACTGGGCATGGTGGTGCATGCCTGTAATCCCAGTGCTGAGGAGGTTGAGACAGGAGTATCACTAGGAGTCTGAGCTGCACAGTGAGACCCTGTACCAAATAAATATAGATTAAAAATTTTTTTGTTTTAAATACCTAACAGATGCTTCAAGGATTTTGCCCACTGAGGCGCAAGAATGCCACAGAACTTTGACTACAGATGCTGACTAAAATCTTCCCACGTAATGGTCCTGTCTTCTTTCCAACCCTAGGGAAGGGACACACTTCTCCTTGTTCCCCGCTGACATCTTTATCACTTTCTGCTGGCCCACACCCAGGTACCATAACTCCCATGCCATGTTGCCTTCCATGCCTGGTGGTCTCTCTGGTTCCCCCGACCCTCATATGTTATAAACATCCTTTAAAATTACCTCTTACAAGTCTCAACTTCCAGTTCCTAATGTATGTAACTGCACAAAATGATCTGTATTAATTATAACTTGCTACAAGGATGGTCTCTGAAGGATTATGATAGTTGGAACTAAGAATTAGAAACAACGTAATACCCAGTGGCAAGAGATAAATTAAATGATTTTGAGTATATCCACGCATTGAGATGCCGTGTAGCCAGTGAACATATTGTAGAAAAATGTTCTACATACAGTGCTAAGTAGAAACCCTTGCATGTTTACACATGGAAAACATATATTAATGTGGTAGCTGGGAGGCAGAAAGTTTACCAACAGTTTATTTTGTCTATACTTTTAATTTTTTCTCTATAGATCTGGAGTTACTTCTGTACAGAAAAATCAATAACTATGTATAATAATATATACAATGTTAACAAAAAAATATTCAGTTACTAAATCAAATCGTTTTTCTGTTTTTATCAATTTGATACATTTGAAAGGATATACTTGCTCTTAAACAGGGCAAGGGTTTCTCCTCTCTCTACAGGCACATGGCAGCAGTTTTCTCCTGTGCTTGTTACCCGCAGGCTTCCCCTCTCTATCTCCTCTTCCCCATGACTTCCTGTTACCTTCATCTAAGCGTGGCAGAACAGGCTGGATGGACTGGATTCACCAAAGGCCAAAGAAAGGGTCTCAAGAAGTAGGAAGCAGAGCGTGAGAGGACACTCCCAAACGCCAACGTGCCCAGAAGACCCACAGGAAGGCGCTCTGCTCCCTGTTTGTGCTCTGCACATGCGCTGTCACCCCATTTGGGTATGGAAGAACCAACCCCTGCCTGGCCTGAGAGCCCTTATTTCCTGTGCGCCAGCAAGCGAGTAACTGAAGGTCGGCAGGACGAGGAGATGAAGTGGACTAAGCCTGGCAAGCACGCTAAGCGTACAGTTAGGATTCTCCTGGGGCCTCTGAACCAGAAATCTCTTCAGATGAACAAGAAACCAGGATCCAGAGACTTACAAATAGGCACAAACACTTAACATAAGAAAATTATTTCATGGAGACAGAAGTGTTGAGACAAGCATGGTGAGATGGAATTAGCCTGACAACTGATTTCACAAAACTCCCTCCAGAGGGTAAGATTATCTCTAGGAAGGATAAAATGAAAAGCACTCAGAGAACATCGATCTTGATGTAAAGAGGAATGAGTGTGCCCTCACCCGTGTAGTATCAACAGTGGCAGTGGGAGTGCTGGCTACCCCACACGAACATCAGCCTCAGTTCTTTTGTCTGTCAAAGTACCTCACTTAGTGTCTATCTTGGTTATTCTCTCATTGCTGAGACTAAATACCTGACCCTCAGAATTAAGAGAAGAAAGGTTTGCTTGGCTGAGTTAGTGGATGTGTCAGTCTGTTAGCAGTTGGCTCCAAGGCAGGGTGGCACATGGTGGAGAGGCCACAGTTTAAGGTGGCAGAAGACAGCAAAGGCAGCAAGAGCAGAGGGGGGGCACAGCAGCAGGCCCCTCTTCCTCCCTCACATTGTACGCAGGCTACAAAGGGCGGGCACAGCACTCGCACCACCTCCATGCCCCCCTTCTTACAGGCCCAGGACCTTTAGAAAATGAGGACTCTGAGCCCCTGCTGAGTTGCTTAAACTTCTAATCTTGCCAAGTGGACGCAGCACCAACCATTACAGAATCTTAGTTATTTTTCTTGTGCTGCTGAGACAAACACCATCCACAAGTTAAAGGAGAAAAGGTTTATTTAGCACACAGTCTGTAGAGGTTTCAGGTCATAAATGATGGGTTCCAAGGCATGGTGACACATGGAAGACAGGCTCTGCAGAGAAGAACAGTCCATGGCCAAGCAGCAAGGGTCACCCACAGCTCTTCCTGTCCTACGTATTTTATGCAGGCCGTTTAGGATGGGTAGCACTCACCACCTTAATCCTGGTGTCTTGATTCTAGCACTGTGCCATGAATCAGTACCAGCATGACACACTGTCGGTCCTGCGACCTCCACAAAAGCCCCGCCTGACGGCATGTGGCTTTGTGGGGGCATGCAGACACAAGCTGTGACACTTGTCATGAGGCACAGCGATGACCCATGTCCAGGAGCTCTCGCCGTGTTCGGGACAGAGCGACAGTCCCACGGGGGCTGGGTTCTCTCTCTCCCCCAGGGTGGTGGTTTCCTTCCAAGGCTGCATGCCACAATCCCTTGCAGAGCTTGTAAAAAGCAGGGACTGCTGCACCCCGCTCTGCACAACTAAACAGGAACTTCTTTGTTGGTCTTTTAAAAGTAACTGCTTACATGATTATTATGTGCCGTGGGGGTAAAGAATCCCTTCACTCTACCCTCTCCAGGGTCCCTGCCAATTCTGAGAATCAGCTTCCTGAAGACTGATTTCTAATCCTGGTTTTTCACAATATTTCCAAGTAACTTTTGTATTTTACCTCTTATCTCCTAAGCAACTGATGCCATTATTAAAGGATAAAATTTTTAGTATAGAACTTTTATTATTTTAGATCTTTACTGATATCCATAAAGGTTAAAAGATACATGATAGAAATATAGACTTATACCCAATTCCTTAACTTCAAACCAATCAACAGCACCAGGTCTATACTACAGCAAAATGCATTCTCATCCATCAGGTTGATACAAGGGGCAAATTCACTGCAGAGGGCCGCAGGAAACAGATGCATTGGGAAGGAAGGGTGCAGTGCTACGAGAAAATAGTGATGGCCCCACAGCCTCTGGTGGCCTCAGAAAGAAAGAACCTAGAGAATCACAGTGGCCCGCTGCAAGGTGTCAAAGGTGAAACAGGCTCTTTGGAGCCAGGCTGGAAGGAACCGTGAGACTCTCCGGCCCCGAGAGAAGATGCTTATCATCAGGTGCCGGGTGCAGCTATATCCAAGGCGTGAGTGCTGAGCAGCAAACCGCCTGCTGCGATCCCAATTCCTGGTCTATTACTCATTCACAGTACCTCAGCCATGCTCCTCTTCTCCAAAGATCAAAGACAGCTGAATCGGCAGACAACGGACAGGAACAGGAACACCTATTGTGTACAATGTCTTTGTGTCCTTCATCACTTCCGAGCTCCGGCTGTGTGAAGATACTGGCCTTTTTGTATGTGCAATTTTGTCACAAGTCATTCCCCTATGATGTTTTAGAGTCTGTAGCAAATAAGATGGGGAGATTTTCCATGCCAAATCCAGTGTGGCATACTGTACTGGCAGTGAGGACCTGATTTTTCTATGTAGTTCTTGCCAAAATCTTTTTTATTATATTTATTTATTTATTTATTTATTTTTGGCAAAACTGGGGATTGGGCTCAGGCCCTTGCACTTGCTAGGCAAGCACTTATTCTACTGAGCCATTTCCCCGGCCTCTTGCTA